ATTTTCATGGTCATACATCTCGATGTCGAGATGATCAATCCAAATTTCAACATTAAAACTACCTTTTCCAATGGTTTTTTGAGGGGCATCTGTGGTTCTACATTATAAGGTAGCATCCTTATATAAACCTTTATTTTTTTTTTTGAGAGAAAGTTCAAAGATATTATTAATCTAGAACGAGATTACAAAATCCAAAATAACGGCTTCAGAGAGGGTAGAACCTCCTTTGGCCAAGGAATCAGCTAGCACATTAGCCTCTATATACACATGAACAAAAGAGACAGAAAAGGTGGAGGCGAGATCCAAAATCTGAAATAACAAAGATTTTAACTCCTACGGAAGTTTATGATCCCCTTTGCGCAATTTCACAACATTGAGGGAATCCCCTTCAATAATGTAAGAAGTCCCCAAATTCCTCTCCACAAGGGAACGAAGCCCAAAGAGAAGGGCAAGATCTCTGCATAATTTGCAGTCTGCACCCCAAGTGGCCCTGCATAGGAGAAGACCACATTACCCATCCAATCCCGAAGAACCCCTCCAAAACCAGCAAGACCTGGGTTACCCAATGAGCTACCATCAAAGTTGAGCTTATAAACCCCCAAAGGTGGGACCATCCATTTGCCTTTGGGCCTACACTTTTGGAAACCCAAATGGAAAAGGTTAAAAAGATTACATCTCACATCCACTTCAGAAATATTCTGTCCACAACTAGTAAAAGAGAGGTACAACCAGATGGAACGCAAGATTTTCTCTAAAACTTTTCTAATTGGCAAAGAGATATCTTCAAACATTCTTCTATTTCTCTCTCTCCAGATCTCCCATAGAATGACACCTCTAGAGATTTGCCAAACAACACTCCCAGTCCTTGATAAAGTACTTGAAAGATTATGAAGAACCCTAATCACTGACAGTGACATTACCAATGCTGCCCCTAGCTTGTCAAAAAACTACCTCTAAATGCGACTGGCAAACGGACAATAGAGAAAGAGATAATCACCAGTCTCCCCGTCTTCCTTGCACATGAGACATATATTCAGTAAAATTTTCCTTCTCTTAATCAGATTATCAACCGTGAGAACTTTGTTTTGAACCGCCAACCAAAGAAAACCTTGCACTTTGAGAAGTAGGGGCCATTTCCATAAGATAGCTATTTCAAGCATAGACCATCGCACGCTATCATGGTAGAGTAAATGATCCATATATTTAACTGAATAAATCTCATTTTTCTCAATCTCCCAAACTACCTCATCAGAAGCATTATGCGGGATATAAACATCTTATATAAACTTTTTCCCTCTTAGAATCGTGATGGTTCCTATGAATTTAAAACTTCTTGGCCTTACACATTTAGCAAGTGGATTTAGACCTCTTAGAATCGTGATGGTTCATGGCCTTACACATTTAGCAAGTGGATTTGGACCTTCTCTTAGAATCGTGATGGTTCCTATGAATTTAAAACTTCATGGCCTTTACACATTTAGCTAGTG